CAGCAAAGGAAGTTAAGAGCACTGCAAACATATTCCGAAAGTGCCATCTGAGAACTGCAGAAAACAACCATGAGAATAAAGATGCACACACAACACATATGCAGACACACATGCATGCACATGTGTGCAAACACAGGAAAACATAAGTCATTAAACAAAGAGTGACAGAATAATGACAGCTTCCTGCCTCGTGTGTGCTGCCTGGAAAGAATAAGATGTCAAAAACATAACCTTTCAGAACACAATGACAGTCAAAATGTTTTTGAAAAAGCAAGGAAAGAACTAAATTTAAAAGCTGTATAGTCTTATATTTAAAAGACATTTTTAAAAATGAGAACCAAGACCTGCCATGTAAAGGTACAAGATCCCAATGATGAATGTAACTGTACTGTATACCTAAAATGTACCAATAAACTCAATGAGGAAAAAAATAAATCAATAAATAAAAATAAAAGACATTTTTAAAAAGTTAGATATGCCTTCTCTTGGATACAAAGAATAATCACTTTCTAAGTTGAAAAGGTAATCCTCCAGTGAGTTGACTGTTATGAGTTTTTTCTGTTAAGCCCAAGATAAATGGGCCTTTTGGAACATAGGAGGAAATGGGAATTATTCAAGATGATGACACAGGCCTCCTGAACGCAGAACACTGACACCCACAGAAAAGATATCAAAGAGGACCGGCCAGACCAAGAGTTCGAGCTCTCCAGACCACGAACGCTGGCATTTCTTCTCTTGCAACACATGGAGCAATAAACTAACCCAGAGTCACTTGGGAGAGTCTGGTAAAGTTCACGATCTTCCTGTCTCTACTTGGCTCCATGACAAGCACCAAGTGGTTTTCCCATTTCTGGATCGTAGAGAGGAGACACTAGGTAGGAATGGGCGGGAAGATTACCAAACAGTCACAGAACCTGAGAGTCCCTGTCCTAGGAATGATCTTGGAACCATAACAGCTGGCACAAATGACCTGCAATAGATCTCTATGAATACTAAGCCATTTGGTCTGGTTTTCTTCTGCAGTGCTACAGATCAAACCCAGGATCTTGGGCCTGCTAAATAAGCATTCTACCACTGAGCTATACCCCCAGCCCCTGAAAACTGAACTGTTGAAGCAATATCCTTTTTATAGACTTATTATTACAATTTTACAACACAGATGAATTTCAATCTTCCATCCGAGTACGCCAAAGAAAACAAGTTTGATTTATTTAGAGTTCAAAGGTATCGTCCACTGATTTTCTAATATACAGAAATAGAACTTCTTTAAGAAATGTCACCTTCCATTCCATCTGATATTAGAATTAAAATATTTTAAAGACAGTTACCCAAAAGGAAGTCCACATACGTTTTCAAAAGTAATCACAGATTTTAAGTTAGCATTTTGGTGTAGAGAAAGACATTAATATTCAACAAGAAAAGAAAATCAATCTATAGAGTGATCAATCCAAAAATTAGTTTATGTTCCTATAAATCAAGAAATGCATGTATGAACTTTCCATTATCCTGTTTTAAATAACGTATTAGAATATTTTTGACATTTGTATTTCAAAGATGCCAAATACAAAGTATAATGCAGTTTTATCATCCTGAAGACATATATTCTCTTAAAAAGATCACACATAGACTTAAAATATTCCAAGCAAGGTTAAAGATAAACTACTATCCCTTCAAAAATAAAACTGCATTTTTGCTGCCAAGGCAAAAGACATATTGAAATAAGTGCAAGGTTAACATGCTCTGCTATGTTGAATTGTGACCCCCGCCAAAGATGTGTTTGACCATGACCAGCAGCACCTGTGAATGTGACCTTCTTGGACGCAGGGTCTTAGCAATGCAATCAAGTTAAATGAGGCCATGGGGTGGGCTCTCATCCAGTGACTGACGGCCTCATAACACAAAGGAAGTTTGAACCCAGAGACACAGAGGAAAGACAGCCACGTGAAGAGACTGGGGTAGGACCTGCTACACACCAAGGAATGTGTGGGGTTACCATGATGAGGCAAGGGCAGATCCTACCTAGGGGCTTTGGAGGGGGGACGGCCCTACCTGCACCTTAGACTTGGGATTCCTAGGCTCCAGAACTACATGAAAATATACTATTGTTTTAAGCCACCAGTTGTGATACTTTGTTATAGCAACTCTGAGAAACTAATACACCATCTTAGTCACCATGTTGGAGAGATGTAAAAGGAGGGGAGAGGCGCCCAGGATATGGGACTTTTAAGACTGATTCGGGCTGATCATTATCTCCTAATGGATAAAGAGGACAATGGATCCAGAAATTTCCACAAAGGTACTCTCTCCTTGGAAGTCCAGTGCCTACTTAGAGCATGCTTCTTTCTATACCCTACTGAGAAAGAGGCCTCATTCTCTGGACTAATGCCCCTGCTCCTAGTGGGAAAAATGATACTAAAATAACAAATATAGAGATTGATAATATAATTAAACAGGGCCGGGGATTTGGCTCAATGGTTCTGCCACCTGCCTCACAAGTGCAAAGGCCTGAGTTTGATCCGCACTACCAAAACAAACAAACAAAAAATATATAAATAACAAACATACATCTTAACCTGAAGAGTTATGTCATTTGCCAACACATTACAGTGATTAAAATTTGAAAGACAGCTAAAGATAATTCGACCTAACTAATATGCTGTTCTAGATCAATTCTATCCCTCTGAGCATAATTCTATGCTAAGAATTAAAATGCTGCATCCATGGGACTGAGGGTGTCGCTTAGAGGACAAAAGATAAAGGAAAGTAAAATAAATGCTTGACCCAGGCAATGTCACAAGTTACACTTAAAATCCTGGGCAAGGTATATATAAAAATGTGTACTGAAAATGAAATCCCCCACTACCCAGGAGTCTAGTTGGTTTCTCTATTTAAATAGGTGAAGCTTCTTTAGCATTCCAAGAATTAGATGCTCCAGCATGAAACTAATTTTGATAGTATTAAAATACACTAATTGAATATAAATTCTGACCCTTGGTCTACAGAAGAAATGATATGCCAAAGCAAAATCTTAAGCCCAACAATGTAGCAGAAAGAGTATTTTTAGCTAAAAATGTCTTTTCGAAGGATCATAATTTAGATCAAAAACTGACAAAATGCATTCTCAAAAAGAAGCTAAAATTGAATTGTGTAGAAAAAAGAGAACTAAAACCCCAGGACATCCTAGGCACATCAAGAAAATGCTAACATTTTAATACAACTGCCATCATCGACTAAATTTAGAAAACTACTGCAGCTTCACAAGCATAGAGTATTCACAGATACATTTTTTTCTGTGATTTGACAAGCCCAGCCAAGCAGAGCTGCTGTCTCTTACACAAGTTAATATGAGGAACCTGCGCCTTCCAGACAGAATCAAGGAAAGCAGGAGGCCACAGGAGAGTCTGAGCTCCAACGCAGGTGGCATTCAGCCTCCCAGGGAGCAGGAGAGGGAGGAGTCAGCCTCTGGGCCCACCTATCCACTTCTCAAACCGCAGTGTGCTGTGCAACTCCCCACACTGCCCTCAGAATGCTATGCTTCCCTGTGAGCAGGGCCAGTTCGACCCTGAGCATCTACACCAGAGCCTCCTGCAAACCGAGCCAAACCAACCACCTTACCCGCAGCAGACAAAACAGAAAATACAGTGGTGCCTCAGTTCTCAAACACTGTTGTATGCAAACAATCTGGTTTGCAAACAGAAGCATTTGGCAAAACTTTGTTTCTGTTCGCAAACTCTGCATGACAAACACGAATGCAGCCATCTTTCCCACACAAACACAAATGTGACCATCTTCTCCAGAATCATGGCATGAATTAAGTTCGTGAACTAAGGCACAATTGTAACAGCACATCCCAAATCTTTACTGCATTGAGCACACGACTAGTTTAGTGCTCAAGAGCTTACCTGTGTGCCAGACAGTCCATCTTCACCACAGACCTTTGGGCGTTTTGTACCTCCGCTCAGGTACTGTTCACGTATCAAAATGCTCATTATAGTAATTGCCTGCTATCAGTCTCATTCCAGTCTTCTCATTTTGTTGACATGCAACCATGTCCCAAATATCTTTTTCACACCAAGGCAAATATTTTGGAAAGTACAATATGGTATGAATTTCTCAATCTTAGTAAAGGGACTGCTTATCACAAAATAGTGAAAATTCTAACCCAGAGATGCTATAAGGGAAACTAACTCAACATTAACAAACAGAGCCACGCTATGAAAATAGAATAAAACTTCCATCCAAGGAAAGCTGGTGGGGAAATTCAGCTTCTCCATTTAAGCCTAGTATTCTCAGTCCAGCACAAACAGTGCCTACCTAATTTAAGGCACTCTTTATAAATGTTGATTCCAGGGCCCGGGATTTAGCTCAGTAGTGCTGCTGCCTACCTCACCGCGCTAGGTCATGAGTTCAATCCCCGGTACAAAAAAAAAAAAAGAAGAAGAAAATGTTGATGCCAAATCCTACCCCATACCAACCTAGCTCAGATCACTGCCAGAGGGACTCCAGGCCTCGGGCTTAGAACAAGCTTTCTGAAGTGATGCTAATGTTCTGATGTAGTCGAGAGTCACTGATCTACACCAGGGCTCAGTAGACTGTCTTGTGAAGAGCCATGCTGTACATGTTCTAGGATTCCTGGGCCCTTTACTGTCTATCACACTTCTCCAACCTGCTGCTCGGTCCCAAAAGAAGCCTTAGACAGTGCATAAATGAACGGCAGTAGCTGGGTTCCGATACAGCTTTACCTATGAACACTGAAATTTAGAATTTTAAATAACTTTTAAACATCACAAAACAGTCTTTTTTTAATCATTTAAAAATGTAAAACCTATTCTTAGCTTTGGAGTCACAAAAGCAGGTAGCAGGCAAATTTGGCTGGCGCAGAGTTTACCAACCCATGATCTACACCGCAGATTGAACTAATGTCTTCTTAATTTTCTCCAAAACATCTGCTCCGCGATTCCCTGTAGTCCTAGAAAACATCCCCTTCAAGGCATGGATACCTTCAGATTCGAGCTGCTCCAGGCCGTAGGGGGCGGCTGTGTTCGCGCTGCTCCCAGATGGAACCGTTCTCTCCGAGGAGGCCTCAGAGGCCGGAAGTGCTGGGGAAGAGCTGGTGACCTCCACCGTCGCTCCGGAGGGTGTCACCAGGGAGCCCAAAACTGCCGTGAACTCTTCACGGGGCAACGCCACCGTGTCCGTGAAGCCTGCCAAACACAATAGGTAGGACTTGATCCACAGGCAGCCGCCGCGGGAAGGGCCGTGGGCGTCCCCTTGTAGGCCAGAAAGGATGCGTGACAGCCACGCCTCCCGGGCAGCAAGTCTGGCCCCGGACCAGCTCTCCACTCCCACAGCGCGTCGCTTCGGCCCCCGCAGCAAACACGTCAGCAGCTAGGAACAGAGGCGAGCTCACACTGGAACCTTGCTTAAAATCTCAGTCTCTTGTGGGTTCTGTTGACAATGGGAGGCAAGCTGCAGAGTTTCGTATAATGTGTGACTACCAAGGGTAGAAAATTTAACAAAAATGTTAAAATATATACCAATGACTGAAAGACCAAATACATTTTTCCAAGTCGAGTCAAAGAGTAAGAGCCTAGATCTGTATCTGGAATGTGCTGAATTTCAAGGCATTCAACTGTAGAAAAGTGGGCCCAGGTACTCCTAAGTCTAAGACTCTCAGACGGTAGCTTGAAAACCTGGCTGATCATCAGAATCAATGGAGGGAATTCTTAAAATGTACGTTCTCATCCACACATCTCAACTCTCTGAATCTGGATGTGTTTGGCCTAAGAAACTTTTTAGAAAAGCTTCCACTGTTGGGCACAGTGGTACACGCCTGTCACTGCAGCTACTCAGGAGGCTGAGGCAGCAGGACCACAAACAAATTCAAGCCCAGTCTGGACAACTTAGCAAGACCTGTCTCAAAATGAGAAGTATAAGAGCTGGAGATACAGCTCAGTGGTAGAATACCCCTGACTTTATTCTTTAAAAAACAGTTATCAGGATCCACAGGATCTCCTGAATTTGGTGAGTATAAATTATTACACCCACTTTGGGAAACAGGCATTAGGTGCAAAAGTATCCAGCACTCATACACCCTAGGGCCAGCACCCGTGCTGCTAGGTGAAACTCCTACAATGCACAGTGGGGAGCACACACACACACAGGACACAAATGCAAAGCAGCAAGGCAGTGAATAATGACTGGATAAACAAACCATGATGTGTTTTCACTATACAGCAATGAAACAAAAGAGCCACAGGATGTAGATCTTAGGCACAGAACATTAAGTAAAAACTGTAAGTCCCAAAAAGCTCATCTATAGTACACTATTTTTATAGTGTTAAAAAAATAACTAGAAATTTAAAATGTGTATTGGTAGAAATATAGATGCAATAAAACTTTTTCAAAAGGATGGAAAGGCACTTATGAAAACAGGGCTCAGAATGCCTACCATCCAGGAGAGGCAAGGTTGAGATACCAAGGCTCTCTGGTTTACGCAGGCTACTGTCCAGGCTATGTATGGTTTTGTTTGGGGGTGTGGAAGGGTGAATGGACTAGAAAGTATTCATTACATTGCTGAGAATAACTCCGTGCATACATACAAAAAGTAGACCTTACTTGGAGCAATAACACAGAGATATGAAGTCAAAAAATAATATTTTTAAATATTAATTTTTTAATTCCCAAGGGATTGTAATCAACCAAATTTGAAAATTCCATTGCCCTTAAGAGATCAGAGCATTTAGGTCCCTATTAGATAAAAAGCCCTTGTACACACTATTGCAAATCTTTAAAATGGCCTCGGAGACAGTTAGATATTATTTAGAAATGAACAAAACAAGTCTCACAGAAGTGAAAGCTACGATACCACTGCGGACCAAGGTGGGACTCCAACCCAGGTCCTTGCTGTGTTTGCCTCTAGTTGCCAAACTAGGACAGAGTTCCCAGTAGGCCGAGCCTCCGGAAACCCACACCTGAGCCTCCCTGCAGACTGCGCCACCCTCTGCAAGCAAGACGAGGTCACCCCTCTCCGGACGGGCGTGTGTATGCACCGGAGAGGAGCCAGCCACCCCGCTCCTCCTTGTCCTTGTGACTTAGAGAAGACCCAGCCTGAAACTGAGTCCACGCCCTCCCTCACAGACCTTGCGCAGCAGGGGTGACTCCGGAGGACAGTGGGGCCACTGTGGTTGAAACTGTCGTGGCCAGAGGCTCCCATCTTCTGGACAGCTGAGTAGCAGCGGGAGCATCAGACCCAGGAGAGGGGGACTCCTCGCCCACCTCGGTGTCTCCACGGTCTCTGGGATCTTCCAGGACAGCAATCTGCTCTCGCGTCACGAAGGGTAGAGTAGCCTCCGCTTCTGGGGCAGTCGTCGTCATTTCCTGAGTGGTGATGTCTTTCAAGAGGGAAATACTTTAAAGTAAATCCTTAAAGCCACCACAGTTAACAAATCAAAACAGAATAAGCTGACAGCTATTTCAGCAACTGGAAAAACAAAGAGACGACTCAGAAATAAAAGTCCAAAAAGTAAATGTGTTCACCGTTGCTGCGTTTAAATCTCAGACAGAAGTAAAGAAATTTTAAATATAAAATGCAAAGCAAAGTAGGGAGGTCAATAGCTGAATAGTAACATAATCAGTTTGTTAAGAAACAGATTATACAAAACTAAATTACAACCAAAAATTCTCAGAGGCGTCTATCTACATTAATCTTCACATTTACATTTCTGAAAGGAACTTGATATTTTAAATTAAATAATTATAATAACCAATGTTCCATCATTTCTAACATGTGCCCTACATGCCCCGTGCAAGTGCACAGTGTGTGCAGTCTTTTATTTTATCCTCCTCCTATGTCCTAAAGAGAGGTAGGTACCAATATCGTTCCATGGACGCTGAATATCATGGTGGTCAAGAAAAGCAAGCTGTACAGCCACTTCCCTGAGTCTGAATCCTGGTTCTGTGAGTCTGAGCAAATTACTTAACATCTCTGGCCCTTCAGTTCCCTTCCTACCAACTGGGGAAAATAATAGTACCCATCACATAGAACTGTTACAAAGATTAAATTCGATCATACATGTAAAACCCGTAGTACATGCCCAGTACACTGATATCCCATAAACAGCAGCTATTATACCCCGTCTGATGGGACAACTTAGGTTTCAAAGAGCTGAGGAGCCTGCCATTCCTCAGCCAGCACTCAGCTGCCGTGCTAGCCGTGTCCAAGAAGTAACTTGGAGGGGCCTCTGCAGAAGCTCTGCATCTCTCTGAGATCTGAAAACAGACTGAAGTTGAAGCTACAGAATATGCCACTGCCCATCATAGGTCTGCCTTTCTCACAATATAACGTCCCCAAACACAGTTAGACTACTGCTTTGTAAGGTTGAAATTTGCTGGCTTCCTAGGGAGGAGTCTAGGCTGGAAATTTCAAATACTTACCAACTACAAAAAACATAAGAGAGCCTTTAGTATCTCTCTTTCTTCAAATACCAGTTCCGGATACACAGCACAGCAAGTTCAATAAGTAAGACGGTGAAAAATAACAGTGTAGGTGTAGTTGAGGAAAGTTTCCTCAAAGTTTTCATCAATGACATCATGGTACATAGCATCAAAATGATTTTCTTCAAAATCAATTTATTTGCTTGAGAACAGTGTGTTTGTTTCCTTTTCTTGGAACCCAACCAGTCTAGACTATTTTTTTTTCTTCTGAATTGAGAGCTATTCACATTTTGTAAGTCAACTGCCCCTGGTTAGTTATAGGACAAAGTGAACTAGGGTAACATTCTTTACCTGAGCTTTCCAGTGTGTTCTTTCTAGCAGTATTTAAGCTGATTCTTTATTTTTTCTCTCTCCGGTAAGACTGGAAACGTCCTAAGAACCAGGACCACTGGCCTTTTGTGTCCCCAGCACTGGCACGATGGGCTGCTCTCCACAAGAAGACCCATACACAGCTTTGTCACTTTGTGTAGTGGGTGCTCTTCGTATCATCACTGGTGAAAGTGTGACGGGCCGGGGATTTGGCTCAGCGGTTCCACCGCCTGCCTTGCAAGCGTAAGGACCCGAGTTTGATCCCCAGTACCAAAACCAAACAACAAAAAAAAAAGCATGATGAACACTTTTGGGAACAAATAGGTAAAAAGCCATATACAATCTACATCCATGTTTCATGAGACAGAAAAAATGCATAACACTTGGAACAACTGACATCTTTAGAAAAAGAGAACCAGAAATATCAACGGGAATTTTCAGGATTTCCCAACATCTCTCTTCCTACTTCCTATAGAGAAGGAAGAATGTAATACTCATGATACATTATTTTTCAAATTTTAGCTGAGCTAATGAACTAGCTGAATTAGAGGACTGACTATAATCTCAGGATTCTCATCTATTAATAATAGACAAAATACCAAAAAAAATTCCATAGCCTCAAAAAGATAACACCCTCAGTGATCCCTAGACCCTCAGATGATTGATATTTCAGTTATTTCCTTCAAAAAATACTTATAGAGCTGGGTGTGGTGATGCACCCATGTAATCCCAGCACTCAGGAGGCTGAAGCAGGAAGATCACCATGAGTTCAAGGCCAGTCTGGACTACATAGTGATTTCAAGGTCAGCTCGAACTAAATAGTGAGACCCTGTCTCCAAAAAAAAAGGCAAAAAATATTTATAATCATCAGGAAATGGTAGAATATTTTGCCTTTGGTTGGTGTTTGGTTTTTTGGCTATTCCATAACTCCTGCTGTCATCAACTGCAATCTTCCACATTCCTCGGATCTATGGTAGCAGTCCCCGGCCTTCGCAGCACCGGGGACAGCTTTTGTAGAAAACAATTATTCCACAGGAATGAGGTGGGTTGGGGTGCTGGCGATCCTGCGAGCACATCACTTGTACTGTGCACCTTATTTCTATGCGTGTTACATTCATTTCTCGTAAGAAGCCCATAAAACAGACCCCTCGGGCACAGCTCACAGTGGGGTTCCTGCCCTTCTGAGATCACCTGATAGGAGGGGGTGGAGCTGGGGGCTGTGAACTCAGGACCCCGCGATGCTCCACCCCTGCGGAGGCCACTATCTCCCGCTCTTCCACCCTGTTCGGGACTCCTACTATAGGGGACCAGGAAAACAAACGAAGAGAATGGCTTGACTGCTCCTCTCTCTACAAAGAACACAGAGAAGCTGATTAACGTGGACACGGTGTGTGATCCACTGGGGTGATCGCACTCTGAGTGGTTCTCTCTCTTCCTTACCCATCCAGTGGACACCTAATAGTGCCAGGCAATGTGCTATATGCTGGAAATAGAAAGTCACCTGCTGCATGGCTACAGTTAAGTGAGATGATTATGGCTAAAGAGTACATCCAATAGTCAAAATAATCATCAAATCCACTTTCATTTTAGCTTGTACCTACAGAAGCTACCACAAGTCTGGAATCTAAGAATCATGAACTCCAGGGTGCAGGGCATCATGCGGGACTATACGATTCAATTCCCCAGAAACATCTTCCAAGTGCCAAGGACAACTGAAATCAACTTCTTGTTCAGTCGTATCTAATATCTTCATACTCACATAGACTTGGCTCTCTTAACGTCACTTAAAAACCAACTCTCAAAACATTTTCTGGAAGCTTCTGTGAAAACCACCAGCAGTACACCTGGTCTTTCCATCTTTACAAATGCATCAGACATGCAAATTTCAATCGCCCTTCCTCAGTTCCCAAGTCATCTTTCATCATTTTAACTGACTCCTCACACTTTATAAAACAGTGCAAATTTCGTATTTCCATTAATTGGGCCACTTGGCCAAAATAATATGTTGTAACTGTTCCAAAACAATTTGAAATAAGATCCACACTTTATACTAAGACTTTCCTTCTTGATGCTGTTATCTGACCAACTACACATAATAAAAGAAAAGTATTATGCAGCACAACAAATACAAGGCATGTCAGCTTATAATATCTAAAGATGAAAGGCCAAGAAAAAGTAATAACTACAAAACCAAGCCAGCAGATGATTTATCTTTCTTCCCCCTTATTTCCAGATGACTCATTTTTGGGTAAAGTCAGAGAACTCATGCGGTTAATACTATTTGATAAACATTTGCCTAAAGCTTTATTGGTGAGAAATATTCGAGATGTGATTTTATTTTACAATATATAAACATATGACCTATACTGTTTATGACACTACTGAAACATGGAGCTAATTATCTGTATTTTCCTGTCAAGTTACACATTTTCACAGTGCAGTGGAAAACACTCGTCTGTTTCTTAGCCCCAGTGCTCTTGATGCTCTGGCTTGCGTGACTCCGTGCTGGGGCCACTGTATGTACTGCAGGGCGGTTGGCCGCACCCCTGACCCCCTCCCACTAGACGCCAGCACCACCCTCAACTGTAGCAACTAAAATGTCTCCACACACTGGTAAATGACCCCAGGGGCAAGGAAGGGGATGCTGGCCTATAAGGAGGGGCTACATGTGGGTATAAGTTTTGTATAAACTACACAATTTACTTGAGCACTTTGCTTGGCATCGAAACTTTAACACCCCATTTCTAAATTGCCTTTCAAAAATAAAACCAAATCGAAAGGCTCCAAATTAAACAAAGCTTATTTTTCTTCCTCTCCTTTTCCCCTTTCCTTTACCTTTCAGCACGTGTCCCAGGGGTCGATACGCCTCCGACTCAGATTCTGACCCAGACTCAGTCACCTCAGAGAGGAACACCGCGCTGTCTCCCTTGGTGGAATCCGTGACACCTCCTGTACCTTGGAACAGGCTCATGGAAACCTCTGTACCTTCCGGCAGGCTCGTGGGAGCAAAGGAACTGACGTGGGTGGAGGCAGGTGATACCTCATCCCGCTGCGACATTTGCAGTGCTGTACCCACGTGCGTGTCCCCTTCTGGCAGCCCCAGAGCTACCTCTGCCGCCTCAGGATTGTCTCCAACACTTGCGGTCCTTGTCCGGCTTCCCCGCTCTAGTTTGGTGTCATCCCATTCATCACCTAAGACAGAGGTGGCTGGAACAGCTGAGCTGATGCTCACTGTGATTTCCGGGGCTCCCAGAAAGCCGTCGGTTTCAGGCTCAAAACTCAGGGTATACGCAGAAGTTGCCACCAACAAGTGCTTGGTGGCAGTGGCCTGGGTATCATCAGCTGTCATCTGTGAGGGATTCTCCCCTTTAGGCAGGAGGTTTCCAGGCACAGCGTCTGCTGTGGATTCAGCACCAGGAAAAGAAGGTGTCCTCTGGTCTGTGGCTGCTTCAAGTTTCTCTGTCCGTGGACTGGCGGTCAGCATTTCTCCGGTGTTCATATAGAATGACGGTGTATGTCCCAAACTAACTCCTTCCTGACTTTCATTTGCAAACAGCTGATTATCCACGTGTGTCAGAAAACCTTGTGTTGTTTCTGTGGTCCCTTCCACAGCCAGCTGACTGTTGGTATTGCTCCAGGCCTCCTCTTCCCCATCGGTACTCAGAGAAGCAGCTGTGGAGAGGCGGATGGTTAGCGGGGCCCCTGAGGACTTGCTCTCAGCAGACAGGCCCTCTGGCTGGTTGGAACCAAGCACATCCTCACCTGTCAGGACCGCTGGCTCGGAGGCAATATAAAGACCTGCGCTGCTAAACCACAGGAGCCCAGCTCTGGTGGGATGGGTTTCTTTGTTGCTCCAGAGGATTTCATTTAACGACACTGCTGCTGGTTCTGCTGAGGCTGTTCTTGCATCTTCGGAGGACACCAGCTGGGGAGTCAGCTTTGGAGTCACTAAGCTACTTTCCAGATCGTCTGTGCTGATCCTCTCAGATTGCTCTTGCTCTCTTTTGGGGAAAGCCAGACATCGTGTGGCAAACTGAAGAAAAAGAAAACTACCAAAAGCCAGACAGAGGTGCAAGACAATTGATCTGCTCATAGTGGAAGAGAAATGTGCATAGAAATTGGCAGAGTTGACAATTCCAGCTACTGAGTCCTGCAGAAAAATAAAGCATATCAAAGTGTCACACACATATAGCTTATAAGTTCCTTTAAATAGAACTATAAGTAAAACAATCTCCTTGACTTCACAAACAGAGAAGGTAGTAGGAAAGGGCTGTTCTATTTCTTTGTACCTTTGAGACATGGAAAACCCAATTTGTTTCTCCCTGCTGAATTCTGCAGCTGATTTAACTTAAGCTCCCTAGAAAAAGGTACCCATATTTCAAGTATTAAGTTGCTTCGTCAATACCTACTTGAAATAAATCACCCTTGAAGTCACATTTGCAATATCCTCTCCAAACTCAATTAATCTGTTAATCCTCTACTAGATCCCAAATTCTTCTATTATTCCTCCATTAATCATAGCACAAGTAACTTGTAGAAAATAGCAATATATCTAGGACACAGAAAATAAATGTTACACACTCATTCAAAGAACTTTTTCAGTGTTGTCATGGTTTGAAAATTTGTGTCCCCAAATCCATGTGTTGAAGTTCAATCATCAAAGTGACAGAATGAGGGGACAAGGCCTTGGGGAAGTGATAAGGCCATGAAGACAGAGTCCCGATTAATGGAATGAGTTCTCCTTAAGAGTCCCCCATAAGCCACCACCTCAGAAATTTCTCACTTTTCAGTCTGAAGCACCACGCCCACAAAACAAATCTCAGAGATGCTGCAAGGTTTCCAGAAAAATAAATGTATTCCAAAACACAAACTTGTCTTCACAAAAGTTACACATTTTCTTTCTTTCATAGCTACTCCATTAACCCCCTTAATTAAACGCATGGTGTGCAGGTGAAATACAGAAATCCCCTTTTCCATGGGGCCTTCTCCCCTTAGGGATTTCAGAACTTTCACGCATTAATCAAGTTCTGTTTTAAAGACTCTTTCAAACATAAAACGGCCAAGTCCTCCAGGCATGAGCTATATGACTGGAGACCAAACAAAGTCTGGATTTCCTGCCTGAGAACAAAGGAACCCGTGCTAAGGCCTCCTGCCAACCAGACAGCACGAGGACTTGGAAGCATACCTTCCTACCTTCTTGAGCAACCTGAAACCAGAACCACCCAGCTAAGTTACTCCCAAATTCCTGATGCACAGAAGTAGAATAAAAGAATACACATTTATTGTCATATTAAACCACTGAATTAGGGGATAACTTGTTGCACAAAAATCTTGGCCCGCACAGTGCTATAAGGAAGTACAGGAACAAAGTATCTTAAGTTGTCAAGATGCCATGTGCAGAGAAGGACCAGCACATCAAGGGTCACAAAGTAAACAGGAAAGAGAAAATGAACCTAGTGGGGAGGAGAAGGACACATCTGCATGCATGCAAAACGGGGCTTTGAAATCCCCATTAAATTGAACCCAGGCAGATCTAGCCTCAATCTGAAATGAGAAAATATGAGGAAAATAATCAAGAAAGAAGAAACAGCATGTGCCAGTGCATGTCAGCCCGGGACATTGCTGTACTTCAACTGAGCCAGAAAGCACCTCCATTCCATTGCCAGGACAGATAACTGCACAGGATCAGGCTCGCTGCCTGTTTCCCTTCCTTTAAACAAAAACCTGTGAGACCTATTAAGCAGGAGTGAGAGTGTTCACAGACAATGGGAAACTGAACAGTGAAACTACCTATATATTTGAAGAGGCATAAAAACTACAGACTCTCTGGTTCATTTTGGATCTGTTCAGAGAGCTGTTTGTTCCTGAACAGATACTCACTAAACCTAATTAAATATCCCACAACAAAAAAGGTGTGGCCTAAAATCTTGGTCTATATGATCACACGCTTTTAACTGAAATTGTGGAAAATGCAAGCCATCATAAATGGTGACAGAATTTAGAGGTACAAAGACTGCCGTTGGAAAGATGATTTCTGAATTTTAGCTTTCTTGGTATTAAAATTTGTTGTGATACTGTGGAATTCTAACAAGACATTTACAGAAGCACCATCACCACTACTCTTTAAACTCTTCAATGAAATTGAAAGGGAAGCAATACTTCCAAATTCATTCTTGGAATCAAGTATTATTTTGATTCCAAAACCAGGGAAAGACCCAACTGAAGAAGAGAACTACAGGCCAATCTCCCTAATGGACATAAATGCAAAGATCCTCAATAAGATACTGGCAAACAGAATACAGAAGATCAGCAAGAAGATCATACACCCTGACAAAGTCGGATTTATCCCAGGGATGCAAGGATGGTTCAATATATGTAAATCAATAAATGTAATACACTATACTAACAGAGTCAAGGACAAAAACATATATATGATCAGCTATACAGATGCAGAAAAAGCATTTGACAAAATTCAACACCCATTCAGGATAAAACCCTACAGAAAATAGGAACAGATGGTCTTTGTCTCAACCTGATAAAGGTTATCTATGTAAAACCAACAGCCAATATCACTCTAAATGGTCAAAAACTGAAAACCATCACTCTAAAATCAGGAACAAGACAAGAATGTCCACTATCACCACCTCTGTTCAATATAATTCTAGAAACATTAGCCACAGCAATTAGACAAGAGAAAGAAATTAAAGCAATAAAGATAAGAAAGGAAGAAAGAAGTGAAACTGTCATTATTTGCCAATGATATGATACTCTACATAGAAAACCCAAAACTCTGCCAAAAGACTTCTACACTTCACTGACAGATTCAGTAGAGTATCTGGATAAAAGTCAACACTCAAAAATCAATAGCCTTCTTGTACACAAATAACAGACTCACTGAGAGAAAAATTAGATTCCTTTCACAGTAACATACCAAAAATTGAAATATCCAGGAACTAATCTAACAAAGGAGACAAAAGACCTCTACATTGAAAATTACAGTAGTCTCAAAAAAGAGATGGAAGAGGTTATAAGAAGATGGAAAGACATCCCTTGCTCCCAGGTAGGAAGAATCAACATAGTGAAAACGGAAATACTTCCAAAACTTCTATACAGATTCAATGCAATCCCGATTGAAATCCCAACAGTATATTTCACAGAACTTGAGAAAACAATCAAAAATTCATATGGAACCAGAAGAGACCTAGAGTAGCAAAAAAACCATTCTAGGCAACAGAGGCATGGCAGGCAGTATCACAATTCCCAACTTCAAACTATACTGCAAAGCAAAGAAACAGACCCGAGGATCAGTGGAATGGATTAGAAGATGCAGAACAACACCAGACATACTCAGCTACCTCATCTTTGACAAAGGAGCCAATCATCCTCACTGGAGGAAAGACGGCCTCTTTAATAAATGGTGTTGGAAAAACTGGATTTAAACTTGACAAAGATTAAAACTAGGTCCCTATCTCTCACCATGCACTAAAGTTCAAGTGGATTAAAGATCTAAATATCAAAACAGAAACACTACACTTACTGAAAAGTAAATTAGGTAGAACTCCTGAAGACATTGGCCTAGGAGAAGACTTTATGAACAAATTCTCAGCAGCATGAGAACTTGCACAACAAATCAACCACTGGAATCTCATTGTACTAAAAAGATTTTGCAGTGCAATAGAAATCACCAACAGAGCTAAGAGACAACCTACAATGTGGGAAAAAAATTTTACCAGCTACTCCTCAAAGTACTACTCTCTAGAATATATAAAGAACTAAAAAAAAAATCAGACCTCCCAAACACAAAGACCCGATTCAAAAATGGGCATCTGAAATGAACAGACATTCCTCAGAAAAACAAATAAAAGCAGCAAGTAAATATATGAAACAGTGTTCAACATCACTGGTCATTCCAGAGATGCAGATGAGAACAACACTGAGATTCCACCTCACCCCACAAAGAATGGCTGCTATCAAGAAATCAACCAATAACAAATGCTGGCGGGGCTGTGGGAAGAAAGGAACCCTTCTGCATTGTTGGTAGGAGTGCAGGCTGGTGCAACCACTGTGGAAAACAAAATGGAGATACCTCAAAGAGCTGGGATTAGAGGTTCTATTTGACCCAGCTACCACTCTGCTGGGTATCTTTCCAAAAGAATTAAAAGAATAATATCACAGTGATATATGTGCACCCATGTTTATAGCAGCACAGTTTGTAATAGCTAAAACTTAGAAACAACCCAAATGCCCAACTGGAGACTGGATAACGAAGATGTGGTTTTTCTATAAAATGGAATACTACTCAGCCATAAAGAATGAGAAACTAGAGGCATTTATAGCTAAATGGATGCACATTGAGGCCATACTCTTAAGTGAAATAAATAGGACACACTTGAGTAAATACCGATTTATTTCTCTGGTGTGAAAAATGAAAAGTGTAAATGAGGTTCAAATGGTATAAGCGATAGTGTGAAATAGGAAGAAAATGGCTAAAGGGGAAGTGGGAAGGGGAGGGGAAAGGAAATAAAGGAAAAGAAAAAATGGAAACAAAGTCTTTGTAAAAAGGAAAGGGTGAAGCGGGTGAAGGGAGGGCAGGGGATTGGGGAAAAAATAAGAACCAAGATATATCATGTAAAAGTACAAGATCCCATTGATAAATGTAACTGTATTGTTTTCTTTAAATGTACCAATAAACTTCATGGGGAAAAATAATTTGTTGTGTTACCAAGCAACTGGCTTTAGTTTCTTCTTTTGCAAATGAGGACTAAAACAAAATAACCTTTGAAATTCTTCTGCCTCCATGATTCTGTTTATACATCACCTATCTGACACAGAAAAATACAAATATTCCTCTAGAATCACCATTTTGCCCTCAAGCAGGCGATGCACCCAGAAGACAGAAAATGCTCCCATCGTGGGCACTCACAGAAGAATTTTATGAACAAATGAGATTGAGGAGAAAGGGGACAAAGTAAAAATTTAATGCAGGGCCGGGGATTTGGCTCCGTGGTTCTGCCACCTGCCTTGCAAGTGCAAGGACCCGAGTTCGGTTCCCGGTACCAAAAAAAATGTAATGCAGACCCAACTGCCTTTCAAAAGAAGAATTTTCCTTCAAGGTCTTATTTTCATCCACACCTTGAGTTTTAGAACTTCTGTGTGAAATGGATTCAGATGTGCTCTGAAAGACCTTCCTTCTGTGATTTAATGTCGGCCACCTGCTTTCTAAAGCCAATTACAGCAGAAAAAGTAGGGTGAAGGTGATCCTTTTCTAGTCTGTGTACTGAGGCCATCTACTCCTTCTCCCCACTACTCAGAGCAACGCCTGAACTTTGAGAGGAAAAAAGACAGCCCGGAGGAGCGGCAGCAGGGAACACATCTGCCACACAGATGAACTGGCAGATGACCTTCAAGTTCCAGGTTTTTCTTCATCTTTCAAACCCCAACCCAAGCTCACACAGCTACCTTGGGAGTCTGATGTCCTTGGGACTTGCATGACTTTGAAAATTAAGAAAAGAATGATAACTGTCGATTCAATGACAGTATTCCCAACACTAAATTACTACCTGCAACCATATTTTGAAGATCATGGCCTTTTTCTCTTTTCCTCAACACTGCATCTCCTATGAGGCCACGTGCCCAGTTTAGAAGTAATGCTTAACAGACAGATGAATGTATATAACCTGCTTTACTGGTAGAGGCGGAAGGAAGATTTCATTGCTTATTAGAATTGTGTCATCCAGTAATAAGAATATTTAATAAAAACACAAAAAGAACACTTCTACTTTTCCCTCACGCTGTGCCTTTAGATGCGGTCTTCTTTTCACTTGATCTGTCACGGCAAATTGACTCACCTAAATAAACTCTAACCTAATTTTTAACTGGCAGTGGATTTTTAGCTTCAAACCACTTAAAAAGTGTCCCTTTTAAAGCAAATCAGTAGCAGTTGGGCTATCATTCGCTATCAAGGTGCCTTAATGGCTTGGCAGTCCAGATAGGCTGTCTTGTCGGGCATTATATTTGACAGTCTTAAATAGACACAGCCCAGAATCTACATCTTTGTCAAGTCTGGGAATATTCAAGTTTCTAAGACCGATGAAAGACAATACCAGAAAAAAAAAAAAAAAGCTTAGACTTAGGAATCCAATGTTCTAAACAGTTGGTCAATACTTTTCCAGTTAAAATGCATGCTGCTATTTCAAGGTGCTGCCAAAACGGAGACCCAAAAGGGAAACCAGAATGTTGAAACATTTTCATCAGGACAAAGCTATCTCCAAGGTAAACTGAGTTTCATGCGTAATGTAGAGAGAACACGAGCACTGCCCCAAGAGTAGAAACTGGTGAAAATCGGCCTGATCCTTTCCTTTGTCCTGATACACAAGGTTTTCACTATCTACTGAAAAGACGGTGGGGATGAAATGCGAACCTTTTCTAGTCTGTGCACTGAGGCCAGATGCTCCTTCTCCCCACTACTCAAAGCAACGCCTGAGCCGTAGAAGCGGGAGAAAAGGCAGCTGGTGGGCATGGCAACAGGGAGCACACCTGCCCCTCAGATAAACTGACAGACAGCCTTCAACTTCCAGGTCTTTATCTTTGAAAGTCCAACATCTACTTGGCAGCCACGTCAAACACAACCATCTTCTGCATCCAAACTGAGGTATCAACTTGAACTCTTCTCTTTTACACCTTTTTTTTTTTGAGACAGGGTCTCACTATGTAGTTGAGACTGACCTGGAACTCACTGTGTAGCCCAGGCTGGTCTCAAACTCACAGCGATCCTCCCGCCTCAGCCTCCCAAGTGCTGGGATTACAGGAGTGTGCCACCACACCCGGCTTTTTTACACTCTTGATTCACAACTTATATCAACCCTTCCCTCGTACTCTGTCCTGGAATTGTGCCTTCAAGCCACCTCACTGGCTTGTCATTATTTTAATTGCCTGTCGGTCACCCTTGTACAGATTCTCTCCTCCTTAAGCCACCTGACGCAATCCAGATGGTTTAGTCTTAGAATAACAATGACAATAACCAATCAAAAATGGCTACCATTTGGAAGATGCTTTGCGCCACATGTTGTAACTGCCTTATCCAATCCTCACAACCTGATGGGGTAGATATCACCACTGTCCCAGGCTTACGGAGGACAGTTAACTTGCCTAAGTGACAGCATGTTTTTGATCTTCTGGATTTTGCCAGACTTTAAAGTCCCTGCCTATTATAATTTGGATCAAACAAATGTTCCCCAAAAAGGCTCATATGGTCAAAGATGTAGCTTTTGGAAAGGATGAGATTGTGGAAACGGTTCCCTCATGACAGACTAATGCACTGGTAAGGTCGTAGCCAGATGGACCATGTGGGGGAAAGGCAGTCAGAGGAAGCGGGTCACTGGGGCACGCCTCTGAAGGGTGTATCCTGTCCCTAGAGTCTCCCTTCCTCCCTGGCTCTTTCCTGCTCTCTCTGCTTCCCAGCTGAAGGGAGCAGCTCAGCTCTGCCACATGTTCAGCTCACCGTGATGTTCTGCATTGGAGCCAGCCAATGACCATGGACTCAGAGCTATGAAAGCAACAGCCAAAAATAAACCTTTTCTCCTTTAAAGTGTTTAAGTCAGGAATTTGGGTCACGAAAAGCTAACACACTGCCTTTGCCACTGCAGCTCTCTGCCCTCCCAAAACACGGCCTCGTGTACGCCTCCAAACACACAACTGCCAAACTCCACATCGATAATGCAAGCCCCATGCTATCGGGGCAGAGTACAAACACCACCCCAGTCGAGCCCAGCGCCCTCTTACACACCACACTCCCCATAGGCTCTGAAATGTTGCCGTAGCACCACAGCAGCTCCAACACCCCCTCCTCCTCCCTGCCCTAGATATCCAAGCCCAGGCCCCCAACTGGCACATGCTCATCCCACCCTTGCCCCAGCTCCTCTCTCGTAAGTCATCACGTCTAAGTCTCATCATCTCAGGAAGACGAGGTTTCTTCCACATAAACACTGGTCCTTATGCTTCCTTTGTTCACCCTAACCCTAATAATGACAGGTAGGTAGACGGGTTCAATAAATACCTGCTGGCATGAAGCAATATAAACGATCACTTAATAATGAGAAAAACAATGCTCGGAGTTTCTGTTTTGTATCGGAAGATATCAGTGACATTTCATGATCTCTCCTTCTCTAACTGTACATTCTGTTCAGCGCCTGGCCTATTTAGCTACTTATTCAATGTGTCATTTCAATAATGGCAGCAACTTGTGTATTCTTATTTCTGCCACTTTTAGGTTTCAACGCTTTTTTCACACACACATACCCAAGCAGACTGCTACGAGAAGTAAGTCTTGGAGCTCTGGGTCAACTCGCTTCCCAATTCCCACCTCTCCTTTTAAAATCCAATTAGTGATTCTTTGATTAGGAAGAAGAACACTGCTCCTTCCTGGCTGGTGTCTTAGCATTCTTTCCATTTTGTGCTTTTCTTGCTCCTCAATGATTCATCTGTCATTGTCTTATCTTGTCTTTTTTTTAATCCTTGAGGCTCTCGTTGCCAATACTATTCCACTTGGGCAAAGCTGAGCCTATCAAGACTCTGACCTTATTAGCCCAGCTGTGGCACATGGCATTCAAGTACCACACTCCTGATTCACTGTGCCACTGACAAATGTCACTGGTCTGCTACGTGGGCTCTGAGATCTGGGCTGCAACCACCCTTCACCATAAATTAAATGGCAGGGATGACAGATGGTCTTTTCAGCTGTATGTTCCATCACAGCAGAAAGGAGAACGGAGTAACCACACACAAAAAAGTATGGTCCCCCCAGGGAGGAAAGCAGCCCCAGTCCTGACGGGATAAGGGAAAGGAGGCTGAGGTCAAGATGATTACCCTGGAAACTACCAGCAAAGTGCTTTCCTCTCCCTGCAGGCCACACACTGCACCGCAAGCTTCAGTTAATGATGCAAACAAATGAAAACACCTGTATTTATCACCCCAAGGATATCATCCTAATCCTGGCAGAAAAAGCCAGACTTGAAGATTTAAAAATAGACTTCAAGCTTGAGCTCAATTATTGGCAAAGCTCAGTTTCTTTGTGAAAAAGTAGCAATAATAGCACTCATACTAAATACTACTGACAATAATACTCAGTTTCCTTCAAAGGGTGGAGGAAAGACAAAAATGACAACAGACGTGAAAGCAGTCAAAAATGTACGAAGGATGCACTATGTAAGACATGTAAGTGTGGAACTGACACGTGAGCCCCTCAAACCGCAGAAACGTGAGCGATGGGAGCCACTCATCACGGAGGTCACAGACGGAGCACCATTTCCCCTCGAGATCCCCACGGAGCTTCCCTTTCCAGCTTCCAGAGGTGGTGGGACCCGACCGTCTTTGCTGCATGAATACTCCTGTCCTGCTCAGTCTTGGTCACAAGCGGCTGTCTGTCGGCCAGACAGCTCTTCTCGGTGACTCATTCTGACACGTCGTTTTTGTCCTCTCGCTCACAGACCTCATCTGCTTAAGAGAGATCTCTAAGCACTAGGTGGCATGTATAGGAAAACTGAGACTAGATTCATACACTTTTCTTATAATCACCAAGAAAATGCAATACGGAAAAACAGGATTGACGCACGCATTTTAATTAGAGAATGAGTTTCTAATCTTGCAGAGATTAATCCCAGAGCCTCTCTGAACAACCAGCTTCCCTATATGAGAATAAATAAAATTCAATGAACAGAAATGCGATGCCATACACAACTTCTCGGGCCAACATTTACTGAACAGAGTGACGCACACCTTTAGTTAAAGAGTGAAATTTTTCCCAAAGCGTATAAGCCCATCTTCTTCATTGTGATCTTATATTTGGTATCAAAACGTCTCTGTAACACCAAACCGTGACACGGAAAGCAGGAAGCATCAGGAATATAGGGTACGAAGCCTCCCATGAAAACAAAGACAAACCCACAGCTCTCTAATTGGCTCCGTTGCCGTAGCTACCCTGGACTTGTCGAGCCTTGGGAGTTTCCCCGAATAAAGGCAATCGATACCAAGTCTGGTGCCCAAGTGCTTGCTTCCTTACCGTCACACACAAGGAGTTCCACTTTATTCGTAAGAACAAGGCAGACTACCCTTCAATCTCTACTAGGCGAACAGAAGCGACATCCTAAATCTGTGAAACCTCCCCGGGTTTGGAGTCCGTCAGCAGAGACGAGGGCGGCTTTGCTGCCAAGGGTGCAGAATCAGCCGGAGACCTGCGAGCCCAGGAGCTCAGCTTGTGACTAAGAAACACAGAGAGGGGTGGGGGGATCCCGACCACACACTTTGCTCTTCGGATAGGAGACCCTTGGAGCTCTGCGGATGATGCTGGCACTGTTCACTCCCGCTTAAGTTTCAAACTAAAACTTCCAGAGACAAAAGGAAAGCACTTTGAGGCTGCCTCGTCCGCCCTCTTGCACCTCAGTTCTGCGTTGAGATTAAGCAGCAGACCTTTGAGATTCCGGCAGATCTCTGGGTGGACTCGGGAAAGGATTTCTCAGGCTGAAGAACCCCAAACTCTGGAGGGTCCTGGGTCCACACGCTCGGAACCGGAACCGGTCGCGCCCGGGCACAGCCGGGCCCCCTCGCCAAGCGGTGACTTTTCCACCTGGCGCCGC